GAACACAAGCAGTTAACTGGATAAATAAGAGCTGTTATAAAACCTTAAACCAAATGTACTACAAAACTACTGCAATAGAACAAATACTTACAGTGCTTAGTTTGCTACAACATATGAGGATTCTGCGTTCATAAAGCATACTAGCATAAAGATGGAGCATGTTATTGACATCTACAGCTACAAAATACTCAGTTAAGTTTCTCTGCAAAATAAAAAAAAAAATGTTTTTGCATTTTCCAAGAAATCCGCATCATTACAGCATATATTGGGTCAATAGTAACAATTACAAGGACATTACTCACGTTTTCTGGTATACTAGGGAGTTCTCTTGTGTCAGGCACAGTGAAGAAGGAATGCTATTAGATAGAAAGAGAGATCTGTTATTGATAATGGATTGCAATGGGAAACTGGCATTTGAAGGCTTTGTGGAGTGTGTGGACATATTGAGTCTATACAGAGAGATGAGTCTATTAGGCATTCTCTGACCAAGAGGGTGCCTGGAATTCCTGTCTGAATGACTTTTACATGTAAAGATGCTTGGGAGATATTTCTCACCATGCCCAGATGAACAGGAACTCCAGCCTCTTGGATAGGGAGAGTATGTAGCGATACCAGGAGCTCTTGTAGGGGGCTTTCCTGAAATATTTAGAAATCAATTTGGCATAAACTGTAGATTTCAAGTACTGATAATCAAACACACAAAACAGCATGCATCTCTTACCTGGCCTTTGATAGTATAATCTGCAATAATGTTAAGTAACTTGTAGAAGACCTCAAACCAAGGCAGGTAGCTGAAATAAATACATTATTTTAACCTTTAATTTTAACCATAATCTTTTCAAGAGTGTCCTGCCCAAAATGGTTTCTGTAGTCAATAAAGGTGCAATGAAAGGATGTTAATTTTTTTCTTTTGGCCTTGTGCACACAAGCACCACAAACACCAACCTGAGAATGCAGTAGCAGGTGTGAGCACCCGAGGAGAGACGGCAAAAACCAAATCTCTGTTTGCTCTCAATATCCGTCAACACAAAGGTGAAGTTCTGGCCAACTTGGTTGACTGTTAGACTGCAATATGAATAAAAGTAAGCAAACGACAACAAAGTAATTATTTGAGTAGAGAAAAAAAAGCTTCTGCAACTCATATTATATAACAATGCTAACAAATCTTCTCTTGAGTGGCCATAGTGGCCATAGAAGCATGTGGTAAGGACTTTAAACACAATGTACTTTGAGTCAATATAGTCAGCATCGGAGCGGTTATGTCATTCTGAGGGAAAAAAGAATCACTACCTGTCCATGTTAAAAGGAAAGCAGAACTTGGGTACTGTATGAAGAGTTTCCTGCAAAATAAAAATACATTTGTATGCAATAAACACATAGATATCCCAATTAAGAAATATAAAATGGGTTATGTGTATGTTCACACCTTCTCATTATAATCTTCAGGAAACTGCCGGTGGACCACTGGTTCTGTAAAATTTTACAAAACAATTAATGTTAAAATAACACAGCATATCAAATAACAGCTTTATGCTGAAAGTATTAATTAATATTTAAGACATAAATGCAAAAAGAAAAACCTATACACACATTGCACATACCACATAAATGAGACATGTAGGCCAACTGTAATATGACCCGCATAGACTAAAAGCTCTAAGATAATACAAATGTGAGCAGACAAAAGAGGATGTAACTTACTAGAACCTGGTGTTCCAGAATGGGATACCTCTAAATAAATCTCAAAAGTAGTCTCTGGGCTTTCTCTGAAATAAAATAAACATTGAATAGAGTCATATATAATAAGGGTCTATTATATAGGCCTTTGTGTCTGTGTGTGAAATAATTGTGAAATTAAGGTATAACGTGCTAACTAATAATTAATAAAACACTGGGCTTATAGCACAGGTGTCAAACATAAGGCCCGGGGGCCAGATCCGGCCCTCCAAGACCTTTAATCTGGCCCTCGGCTGATTTTCTACTAAAATATTTTAATTATATTTTCTATTAAAATATTGGTAATTTTCTGCGGTGTTTATCATAGCAGCGTCTCCAGCGTCTCTGTACGTGGCCCCTCCCACCAGAACAGCACAAATGAAGACTTGTCTCTTTCCAAACGCTCTTAAAGGACGATCGTTTTGACTGTTGACCGTGACACCCTCATCAGAAAAATGTCCAACATGAGAAAAGTGGAGCCAAGTGCAGGATTTTACAAGAAAAATTGACTTATTCCTATTTGCATACAAGTTCATGTTAAAATATTGTGTTGAAATTGCATTTTTCTTAAAGTTTCAGGTTGTTCATGATATTATAATATTTTGTAAAAGAAAGAGTTCATCAATTAAAAAAGATTTCTGTAATAGATTTGTGTTTCTCTGCACAAATATTTGAACTTATTGTTATTTTTGGGGTTTATATGCCATGAGTTTTCTGATCCGGCCCCTTTAGGATCAAAGTAGATTGGATATGGCCCCCGGACCAAAATGAGTTTGACACCCCTGGCTTATAGTAACCTCCTACTAGGCAGACACATCACTGCTCTGTAATAGGTTTACATTTTACTGAAGGGGCTTTAGTGCAATTCACCCAAACATTCATAAGAACAAGATGGAGATTTCTGGGACGATAATAACAGTTTTACTAACAGTGTGTATACTGATAGGATCGCGCTCCCACTATCCAAAGATCTTGCTTTTACCATTGCCTTTCATTAATGAATATGACCTGGTTGTCTTTTCTCTAGTATATGAATACATAAAACCATCAGAGAGAAACAGAGGAAGCACACGCCTATGTGTCATATTCCTGCCTGTGGTCTGTGTGGGCTACTTTTGTCTTGTCCTGCATCCGGTGGAAGAAGGAGCTGACCGCGCACAAGCATCTGACACACTGATAACACAACCATGACCACTACGGAACATTATATTAGAACACGGGAGAGGTCATTTAACAGTATAATGCTTTCAGAATTAATAGCAAAAGTCAGTGTTTTTGCAGATGTTTTTGTCTTAGTGTCGCAACAAGTCTGGGCCTGGTATGGACAGTTTTACCAATGACTCACGAAAACAAAGCTAGCGACGACCTGACACTTGAATTATAAACATCTTAAGTAAAATGTTCTTACTTGATTCGGGACCCCATCATTATATCTTGTCCAGCTATTGCCGGCAGCAGCCGTGAGTGCACAGCCGCGACTGTCTGGAGATGTTTTTCTGGAGCTAACCTGTCACATAGCGGTGCATATCGCCATGGCTATGGTCTACACGCGTAGATCACGCTGTATGCCCCACAGAACTATGGGTATTGTAGTATATTTAAGAAACCATGAGAAACCATAGCAATGCTTCGCGATAGTTTAAAAACGACAACACCCAAAAGCCATCACCAACAAAATGAATCGATCGTGTGCTAAAGCCATGGATACATTACACAGGGTACTTGAAAAATCTGATTTAGAATTAGGGTGAGTTTTCACTTCACTTTCCTGATAATCTTGAATTTAAGTAGCAATTGCATAGACCTATAGGAAAAAACAACATGCTGGAATTTTATGGCCAAAGCCAAAGAGTTTTTTTTTTTTTAATTTTGAATTTTTATTTTTTATGTATTTTTTTACAGATATTCTTTTAATTCAGTGGTCTATGCAAAATTATTGGCACACATTGTGTTTCAATAAACACATAATCAAGAGAAATACACATTCTTGAGCAAAATATTTCTCTAATAAAAGTAAGTTATCACATAAAAATGTCTTCTGAACATAAAAAATCTTGAAGGAACCTACTCATTTAAAAATCTAGTCTCTCTTCAGAATAAAAAACATAAAGGCAGGCTATTTCATTGATTTCTGATTGCTATGAAAGAATTGTGATCTTCTTAAATAATTGTGCTTGCAACTGGTTAATGATCAATAAAAGCAATTTAATTAATTTCTTGTTTTTAAAGCTGGACCTCACTTTAGGCAAAATGTCACCATGAATGTAAAGAATCTCTCATGTAAAGAATGTCTAACCATAAAGAAAAGAAGCACATGGGGCTGTATTTTCACTGAAGTTCAGATTTTGATCTTGTCACCCATATTCAAATGATGTATCAACCAAAACTAAACTGCAGTGAAGGCCTAAAGATTGGAGATAACCATTTGACCAAATGCTAAGGTAAAGTGGTACTGGGGTAAGAATAATAATTCTGAATAAAATAAAGCACTGTCCATACATTTTAGAATGTTTTCTAATGTATGGAGAATTTACTTTTTTATGGAGTGGACTTACAAAATTAATACAATTTTTATGTGTCATTAATGCGATACATACTGTAAAAATGCGATACATACTGTGAAAATAAAAATGCGATACATACTGTAAAAATAAAAAAAACCTGTACATACTGTAAAAATATACAACCTGTACATACTGCAAGAATATGCATTTATTTTGAAATATAATTTTCTTTACATTATTTTCATAAGAGCAGGGGTGGATCCATTTACTCCACAAGCCCAGTTCACCTTACCCAAAAGTAACTTTTTTTTTTGATAAATTGTAGTATTGTTTTTGTTGTATAGTTGTAGGAAAGAAATGTACTTAAACTGTAAACGTATATTTAATAGCTTGCAAATTGTTCTCCCAGTATGGAAAAACAAAATAGCACTAGACCTAAATAAAATAGCTTTTTTGCAATAGTCGTTTTCGTTAAAATTACAGATTTTTTATTTGAGTAACTAGTTACTTACTTGAAAGTACTTTTAAAAATGTTTTTTATATACTTCATAGTGTGTGAGTGAATTATAACTTCGCTGCTTCAAAAATAAGAAAACATAGTGGATTTCTATAGACTGCAGATGGTCTTATGCTGCTCAGTCAACCCTGTTTAACAAGAACAGCCTAATTATGGTAAAATATTAGATTAGAAATAGAAGATGTAGGCCTATATTTGGTTAGACTGGGATGGGCACACTGAAAACAGGAACAGCCTATATTTTACCATCTAAAGCCAGAATAAGTCATCTCAAAGTTTGTTAGAACTGCAGATAGCCTACTAAACTAAACAAGCGAACTAAAATCATTTCAAACTGTTGCGTATATATAGTATAGTGTATAAAGTTTGGCACGTGTGTCCCTCCCTCCAAGCAACCCAGCTTGGCACGAGCGAAGAGGGGTATGTGCGTGACGTTTGACCTACTTAATTTAACAGACTTTTTTCTTTTTTTTTTACATTTCCCTGGGTTAAAGTTTTCGTTTCGTCATTTCAGTAGAGTCTTGAGACTTCAACAGCCTCGTGGCAGCAGTAGCGGCAGAAGCAGGCAAGCAGGCATCAGTCAGCAGTCACGCTCCCGCTCCCGCAGGCGCGCACACCGCCGGAGGTGGGGAGGGGGTCGCTGCCTGTCGATGTTAAAAGTTGCACAACAACAAGGACCAATGTAACTTGTTGGAACGTTTCAGTCAAGGCTAACTTTTGTCTTTTTCTGGTAAGTAACAAGGTTTGTAGGAAATAACCCAAATCTTGTTAATCAGTTCATTTTTATAATCAACTATTTGGTTTTTCCAGCTTGTTGGTAGACTAATCCTTGTGTGGGAAGGCTATATCGACCTCTTCGAGGTGTAGCCTACAACGTGTTGTTTACTATTTCTGATTACCGTGAGGGCTATCCACAGCTAGCTGCAAGTTAGCCTTCTACTTCGAGCAACGTGAGCAACATATGGAAATGATATTTCTGCGCCACGAACGGAAACTAAACTGTTATAGCCGATCAGTCTGATCGCTTGGTTTTCTTAACTCTTTATCGCTATAGGTGCTGCTTGGGTGGGTTGTAAACATGAAGGGCAACTTTAGGAGCTATAGTTTTTTACACACACTGCTGATATCTGTGAAACAAAACTGTGAAACAAACTCCCATAGGCCTGTTTGTTTTACATTAGCTTGTGCGCTCTCTGACATTTTGGTCAAAATGCTATGCTGGTTGTAGCTTCAGATAGGCCTAATGGTTTCCTTGCTTAATTATAGGCTGATCTGAATAGATGGGCTGTTACAGATTTGCACGAGAAGGGAATTAGGCCCAGGTAGTAGTTCCAGTGCAGTGCCTGAAAACAACTCGTGTCTGTGAGTGTAAACTCTAAATGAACATATGCATCAGGCAGGATGGGGGCAAGAGCAGTGGTGAGGCGGTGCTGGTTATGAGGATGCCTGGGCATGCAAGGTCAAATAACTGGCTAAAATTAGTCACGTGTCATCTGTGACGGGGAGCTCTGTTTGGCCCAGGCAGCTGGCTAGTGTCCACACTGCAGGAAGTCATGTCTTCACACATGTCTGCAAAGCCCTATTTGACTACTGGTACTTTGAAACGGGTATTTTAAGATCAAAGTTATAAATGCTATAACAACAAATATGCCTTCAATTTCAAGTTATACTTCAATATATTGATACCAAAAATATTGGAAAAAGCATATCACCACAGGAATGAAACAAAACAATTTTTACCACCATATTGCCCAGGTTCACGTGGAGGCAGTTAAATGACTTGTCCTTTGTCTAATTTTATTTTGATTCAGAGAACAGATAACTTGATGTTGATTTGATTTTAACATTGTGCAGGCATTTCTAATAGACAAACCAACTGCCAACTTGAGGTTTAATTTTAGTGATATAGCTATTCGTATACTATTAGTATATGATTACTATATATATTATTATTATTATATGATAAAGGTATGTCAAATTAATTTAAAAGGTTATCTGTGTAGCTCAAAGTTCTTATTGTATTGATGACATCTGCATCAGCATAACTCCATTCCATTCAGGCCAAGTTCCTCTAAACACAGCTACAAGAAACACATGGAAACTCACTTTATATTGTCTGTTGGTTTGTTTAATGCCTGGACCGGGATCCTTATCTCAGTCCTCCTAACTATCATCTGCTGACACCTGACAGGTGCTGACTGCTCCTGACCTGACAGGTGTATAAATAATTATCTTAAATACATCACTGCGTGATTTATATTCATAAAAGACAAAAAATGGAAGTCAGTATTTTGGCCCTGACATTTCAGCTTCCAGACACAATTGGCATGTTTGTGCCACAAATTTGGTGCAAATAGCATTTTCCTGATCATGCGATTCAGTGTAAACAGTGCCGCAGCACAGTGCACATTATCTGAACAAGCCAATTTTATATACAGAGCCTGCATTGTTCTTGTGCTGTAACCTAAAGCCTGGCAGGAAGCCCAATTGGCATTGCTAAAATGTTAATGGCTTGCGGTGGAGCTGAGTAAGTTAAGGTGAGTGCAAGTTTGCACATGTGCCGCAGTTAGTGCTGACTCAGCATTGCCTTGCCGCTTGGAGTACCAGTGCATAGGGCTCTTGAAGAGTAAATGGGTTGGGAGCAACTTTTAGGAAGGTTTAAAATGACTGTGCCTTTGATCTATTTTATATGATTTTATTCTTGACATCAATAACCCAGCATGCCAAATTCATTCATTCAAGTATTTTTTGCATGTGAGACATAGTCTCACTTTCCCCCCTCATTTCCAGTTCTTAACTGTCTGTTTATTGACGTCGAATACCTTGCATCACTCAAAGAAATCATTTTTTCCACTATCTAAACTTTATTTATATTTTATTACCCACATTTATTGGGCTTTACACAATGTGTGTTTTGTTTGTAGAGACATCGTGACCTCTTACCATATTATTTTCTGTTGAAATAGTGGCAATTTCTTTGAGGTGATGCCACCATGGAAACGCAGAAGAATGAGGCCACGTTAGACAACCACAAACCATTATACAAGATTCAGGAGGATCAGGTAGAACTTCTAATGAATAATCCTGTACACATTGGTTTATCATATTACTCAAATGTCATTTTTTAATACATAGAAAAATGTGCCAAGCTGCACATATTGTTGCACTCTTGCAAATTTTCGTATTGAAAAGAAGATTGGTCGTGGTCAGTTCAGTGAAGTCTACAAAGCCACATATCTGCTGGAAGGACAACTAGTTGCACTCAAAAAAGTTCAGGTACTAAATAACTTAACTAACATAACAAATTGATCCCACCACCATCATTAAGCACACTGTAAAATACTGTAGCACAAACACGTAGCCCAAACATAACTCAGTGTTTTGCAATGTTAATTATTACACACTGCATTACATTACATTGCACTCAATGAGGCAGTGAATTTTATCAAGTAAAACTGAGTGTCGCCTGATATCAGCCAATACACAATTTTTTTATATGTGGCACTGCAGATCTTCGAGATGATGGATGCCAAAGCTCGTCAGGACTGCATAAAAGAAATAGATTTACTTAAGGTAAACTTTGTTTTATTCGTCAACATTTTTAACCATTAAATGCACCTAAATTTGTTTTGTTTCCATTTAGCAACTTAATCATCCAAATATAATCAAGTACCTAGACTCTTTTATCGAAGACAATGAACTTAACATTGTTCTGGAGCTGGCTGATGCTGGTGATCTGTCCCAAATGATTAAGGTCTGGAATACTATATGCTACACATGTCATGCTACAGGTGTTCAAAATGTAGTTGTAACTGATCTGGGCACTTTACAGTATTTCAAGAAGAAGCGACGGCTGATTCCAGAGAGAACAATATGGAAGTATTTTGTACAACTGTGCAGTGCTCTGGAGCATATGCATTCACGAAGAGTAATGCACAGGGGTAAGCAGTTACTTTTCCTTCTGTAACATTTATACCACTCTTTTTGAGACCATTTTAAGATTACATTTTATGTTTCAGATATCAAACCAGCCAATGTGTTCATTACAGCCACTGGAGAAGTAAAGTTGGGAGATCTTGGATTAGGACGCTTCTTTAGCTCAAAAACCACTGCAGCTCACTCCTTAGGTAAAATCTGACTCAGCATAATCTTAAATAGAAAAACGTTACATTTAAAAATAACAAAGATCATTATAAATCTTTTTTGGCTCAGTTGGGACACCATACTATATGTCACCAGAACGCATCCATGAGAATGGATATAATTTTAAGTCAGACATCTGGTCCTTGGGATGTCTTCTTTATGAGGCAAGTTTTATATTTGTTTTTTTAATCATTGCATTTGAATCATGTGAACGAGTGAGTGCATATACATGCGCTCAAGCATCCTGGTTATGATCAGGTTTTTTGAGAATCCTGGTTGTGTGAATGTTCATGTAGATGCAGTATCCTGATTTTAGTATCATGAATATGCCAGTATCCCAGTGATGAGAAACCAGGATACTCTTATTGGGTTTTTCAGAGAGTATCCAGGATTCTGTAGCTTGTAGATGCAGATTTTGATTTCTCAAAACTGGGGCTGTACTAAGCTTGTGTGAACTCAAGTAACAAAACTGGTAGGAGCAGTTACATTCCCAAAACGACTCAAACTCCTACCAGGACATTTTAAGTAATAATATTTTATACTGATACTATACTTATACTATAAACAAAATAAAGCAGTCTACTGTTTAATCTGGCCACCTTTTAACTCCAGACTCATCTCTGTGGTGGTTTGTGCTGCTATTGAACTAAACTGAATCTGTGACAGTGTTGTATTTTTCAACTGTTAAAAATTACTTTTACTGAAGTTGTGACAGAGCTCCACAGTCTCATGTTCTTACTTGAATGTATGACTACTTTTTATAGTTATAAACTTGTTAAAAAGTGTTAAGTTAGCAAAGTTGCTACATGTTTAGCTCCTTGCCATATTTATGCCATAGATACCATAGAAACCGCTCCAAATATCCAGGATACTCTGACGGCACACGTGTACAGGGACATGAGTATCATGGTTTCTCTGAACGCACGTAAACACTATATCCAGAATATTGTCATAACTGGGATAAAGCTCATAGCCGGGATACTTGTGCACAGGTAAACGCAGTGATCAAGAATAGGAAACCTAGTGAATCAATTTAAGTACTCAACTTTTGTCAGGTCCATGTGATTTATGCAATTTGACAAATACATCATGTCCACTTGTGCAGATGGCTGCTCTGCAGAGTCCTTTTTATGGGGATAAGATGAATCTCCTGTCCCTCTGTCAGAAGATTGAACAGTGTGATTATCCTCCTCTCCCAGCTGATCACTACTCTGAGAAGGTTTGTTTACAAACCTGGAGGCATATTAGATCTTAAATGTGACAGTTGACCCAGTTGTGTGAGTCAGTATCAAGAGCTGTATTATAGCTTAAATGGTCATGCTCATTTGATTGTGAAACACAGAGGAAGTGTGATGTCTTTTGAAAGGCAGACATAGAACACTGCTTTCAGTGGACTATGTTGATTTTTTTGTTGTTGTGGATTGTTGCACTATATTCTCTGATTAATTCTGTTTCAATACTGCTTGCAGCTGAGAGACCTGGTCAGCATGTGCATTAATCCAGACCCAGACCAGAGACCGGACATTGTCTTTGTGATGCAATTTGCCAAACAGATGCACATGTGGACTTCAAGCACCTGAACATTATCTCTGCTTTCGGGCACAACTGCTTAAGGACCTCAAAACCACTGGACATAAGCTATGTCTCCCTCTACAGAAAACAGACCTTTATCTGAACCCTTCAGAGCTCAAGAACACCCCACAAAAACTGTACAAGCGTGATCTTTTCACAGCTATTGCAGCTCTGTCGTGGAGGACTGAGCTGTTGGAAGAAGTTCATCAAGGGTGTTCAGTATGCCCTTCTATTTACAGTTCTCCCGATTAAAGTTGGTTTGATGTCAGGTTTGTGTTATATTTGTTTTTGCATAACTCCACCAGAATTGCATTCCAAAGATAATTAATGTGTTACTAGAAGCTATTGAATGAGATACTCACAATACATGAGGTTCATACCTCACTCATAAGGGGTCCTTTTAAAGTATTTGTGTTGTGAAGATAATTATTCATTACATAAATTCATATGTAATACATAAATACTCGAAGCTATTGTTCAGGAAGTAAAGATTACTTTATTAGGCATATCATGGTGGTTATGTTCCTTAAATATAATTTTGCAATGAAAATGCAGTGTTATGTGATGCTTGATAGATTTAATCTACATTTCTCTATGCCTGTATAGACCTCGGTCACTGTGAAACACGCCTTGTTAACAAGATGCTGTGAAATACTTTTGTTTCTTCTGTTAAGTCTTGTAGATAAGATGTACTCTTTACAAAGTGTTATCAACCACTTACTGTACTTATTGAATTGTGACCTTGCCTCAACTTGCCTTTGTTACAATCTTGTATTTTACTATGCAATATGAATAACATTTATGTGGAGGAAAGCCTCTCTTTGTAACACACATACAGTGCAGTTAAACGACCAACATCTATTCAGATGTACAATAGGATGAGATGTAAAAATGAAACCAGCCATTTATATAAACACACAACACAAACATCTGAAGACGCAGCTTTTTTATACAATTGGACACTTTTATTGCAACACAAAATTTATGTTAAGAGTTAATAGGAAAAAAAATATTTTTTTTTGTGTAACTGGTTAGGAGGTGTCCATGGTCTGAATGGTCTCTTCAACCACCTCCAGATCCAAAGGGGCCACCACTTTGGTCAACACACCAGTCGTACCCCTCTTGTATTTGTAGTCTCCAGTCCTATACAGAGAACACATTTACAAAATAAATAACATTCTGAAAATTAAAAAATAAATAAAAAAAATCACTGCATGGTTAATATTCACAGCACACAAAATCAGAGGACATGCAACCAAGCTGTTAAGCTATCTCTGCAAATCACATCACTACAAAGACACTACTAAAAATAGATTTCTTTACTCACTGCCGCAAGGTTTCAAGCTCATTTGCTCTTTAGTACAAAACGAGCAACAAGACAATAAGTCACTCTCTAGGTAAAGCAGTTTTCAGTTAAACCTCTGTACTTGTCGAAAACAACATTACTTCACTGTTCCATACCTGACACCCTTCTTGTTGGCCTCATCATGAGGTCGCAGGTAGTCCACTTTGCTCTTGCTGATCACACAAAGATCTATGTTGCTGCCAGAGCCCAGATCATTAAAGATTCCAGCAGCAATGGCATCACGCACCAGTTGCTTGGCTTCCTCCTCCTGTAAATATGCAACATGTTTAACATCTGTAATTTCATCCCATTTCATCATTTCTCTTTAAATTTTTCTTAACAAAATTCAAAGAAAATATACCTCCATGTCTGGCTTATAGCGATCCTCAAACACTGCCATAGCAGCAAGAGACCCAGATCCTAAAATGAAAGCACTAGAGGCATGAGACTACAGTCATACAATTGTCAAGTTTAAATTGAACGAAGAGGTAGATACCCATGGTGACATAGGGCAGTTTGTCGGTGGAGCCATGAGGATAAATGCTGTAGAGATGTGGGCCGTTACAGTCAACCCCACCCAAAACCAGTGCAGCCCCAATATAGCCCTGATACCTAGAACACAGCAGACAATAATTATAAAAATACATATTTTTATGTATAGATAGATATTTAAAAAATGTGTCTTTTATTCAACCCTTCAAATTGTTTAATTGTGGTAATTGCTCAAATAGATTTTTTTATTATTAGATTTGGTAGTGGTAGGCTACCTGAACAGCATCTGCTTGAGCATGCGATTGGCTGTGGCTACTCGAGGCAGTCTGCCAGTGGAGAGCGAGTGGAGCTCGAGGTTAGAGGAGATGAGCTGAGTGGTCATCTCCGTGTCAGCTGCTGTCCCTGCACCACAGCAGCTAAAACATCAAAAATGCATGATGTAAGAGGCAAATTAAAAGCATTAGAAGCATGGGAAACAATATTTGTTACTTACTAAATATTGGGGGAAATGTAGTGGATTTTTGAACAGTTCTTGTCTGCTACTACCATGCCCTCTGTGGCTCTTGTGTCTGCACCAAGGACAACGCCACCCTGCAGAAAGAGACAAAACAACACAAGTGTAAATATGAAACAAGAAAAATATAGTTTCTACTATTCCACATGTACTGCTGGGAATTCCCAAAAATCAGTGTCTATTACTTATTCTTTACAATAGGGCCCGACCGATATGGATTTTGTTGTGGCCGATATAATACCGATAAAATGAATTGGATTTTAAATTGGGTTTATTTAGGCAACATTTATTGTTATTCTGACTCTTTACATCATATTTACATACAGTAGATTGGCCTAATGGCATTTTTGCATCACATTCTAGACACTAGTGATGGGTATTCCAGTTCTTTTTAGAGAACCGGCTCTTTTGGCTCGGCTCACTAAAAGCAGCCGGCTCTTTCGGCTCCCAAGTGACTTTAGGTTGTTTTGTTGCAAGCAGGACTATACCAGAACTGAACCAGGTCTAAACCAGAACTGAACCAGGACTGAGTGTCGGGACTGGATCTCCATCTCTCTCCCTCTCTCGAGCCCAAGATTAGTACTGGTTTATTTATTTTATGGTGAACTACAGCCAAATATACCACTATTAGCCTTTAGCCGTAAATGTGTGCACCGCGGTAATTAATTATATGCATAAACGTCATCATTCACACCTCTATTCACAGCTCATTTACATATCAATGCTGGTCCAGTAACATATATACGGCCAATATAGTCACTTTACAATAGGCCAATAGAAAACAGCCCGTTTATGTGCGGGAGCTACAGCAGTTAATCTCTAATCAACAAATAACCAAAACTAGCTTCAAAGTCAACATATTTTCAACACTCATCGCTCACACAGGCTCCTCCTCACATCACAAGTCTGCACTAATAAATGTCCATTTAATCCAGACTCAAACCAGTTGTCCGTAAAAAGAATATTATTTCAGTGTTGCACATAGATCTATGGCTGCGGGCGTAATCAAGTGCGAGTGACACGACTCCAGGGGTGTGTTCAGGGACAGTACACCCATAGACACAGAACAGACAAATAGGTCTGTATACAAATACTGATGTGGAGCCACATATTAGGACATTTATCGGTCTGTAAATTGGATTAAATGAACATAATGTAGAGAGTCTAAGCTTTATAACAAGGTATAACATGCCCACGTGAAATATCGGCCCATATCGGCAAGATTTAGGCCGATCGCCGATGTTTCCAGATGCCCATATCGGATTATATTGGCCGGCAGATATATCGGTCGGGCCCTACTTTATAACCCCACCAACTTCCTCCAATCCGCCTACTAGTTCAGTGTAGCAAAACTGAAAAAAAAGTTAGCTTTTTATGGAAAATTTGATTAAAAGTCTAGTAAGTTTTGTAAGTTTTTTAGTAAGTTTTTTTTCTTCATTTGAGTATGTGTTGCGTGTTTGAATTTGAAAATCTAATCCCAATTTCTTTCCCCTTCATCTACTAAAAGACACTGTAAACAACCACATAAAAAGATCAACAGAACAATCTCTTCTAAAGCTGCTTTCAGGCCGGTCAGAACGGTGCGGGTGCCAGTTCCAGACGCGCGCTCGTACCATTTATGTGATTTACCACCAAATAAAAACAAGGCCATACAAAAACGGATGTCTCAGGGAGGAAAATAATGATCATTGATCGCATCATCGACACCAGTGAGCATCTGTACTTCTGTACAAGTTATTATTTATGTGCACCAAACTCTGCTACAACATCGATCTGCTGTGGAGAAGGCAGCAGCGAGGCCCAATACAAAGAAGTAATCTTATCAGGCGAACACGGATACATGCAAGATGAACGATACATAATAGTTTCTGTAGACTTATAACTTTTAATTTCATACGTGATAGTTTCAATTGCTCTTTGATTATTTTACCGCGTGTGACCCGGATGAATGTGCTGATGTCTTGTGTGTCGTCACTGTTCGCTTAGAAAAAACAAGTTTTACTTGGTTCCGTTGGGAACCAACTTTTCAGTTCCCGAATGCTCCGAATTCTGGCGTGAACACGTAAATCGGTTCTGGATTAGGTGTGGGAACCGGCACCGGCACGGTTGTCTGTCGGCCTGAAAACGCTTTAAGAGTCACTGTCAGTGCATTTGTCAGGGTTAGGTTTGCTGGCTGGCAACCAACTGTTCCACTTGTTATGGAGAGTTATGGAGAGTTATGGAGATTACTTCAGTCCTTCAGTTGTGACGGAGGGTCATGATCATCATTGTTTATTAAATGAAATTTTTACTAAACTACTTGATGTTTGTTGATGAACAGGTAACCTACCTTAAAAACAACTCCACAAATGGTAGTTCCTGTCTTTCGAGCTGATGGCAAACTGCACCCAACTTTGTTAGCCTCTCTTTCTATGAGAGCATTTCTAAAATAAAATTTAAAAAAGCACAGTAGTGACAAGAGCCTTCAAAACACAATTTCAAAAATATTCCAGATGAGTCTTTTCAACATTATGGATACACACGGCGAGCTATATGTATATAATCAACAATGCACATAGAAATAAGTACATATATTTAGTCATAGTATAAAAAACGAATTTCCCCATGCATGAATAAAAGAAATTCTGAAAATACTTTTTACAGTGTTTCAGAGTGTTTAGTTTTAAATTCAGTCAATAACATGTGGCTTCAGCGTAGCTGAGTCAAATTAACAAGATTAATTTTTGTTTATTTTAGAAAACCTTTCGTACAGAAAAATAAAACTTAATAAAACTAAACTTTTTTGCTTTTGTTAACGTATAATCTAAAGAAAAGTGCCTTTAGCTGGAAAAGTAACTGTAAATGGTGAATTGCCTGAGTCATTGTACGGCAGCCATTGATGTCTCAAGACTAGCATCTTCCGAAAGCTTATTATAAAAGGTCCTAACATTCTCACTACGCCAAAGTCACTTCAACACAATATTACATTGTTGCATTTTAATTTATTAAAGAGAAAGAACGCACCTTTTGCAATTTTCGAAACTGAAACCTCCATGAGGAGGCCGGTTGACTGCCAGCGTCGCCATCTTGAAAGTCTGTTTCCCGGAAGTGGCGGAAGTTACTTAAAATTATAGAAGCAGAGCGCAATCATGGATCTAGCGCAATAAACTTATGTTTAAAAAGCCAAAATGCTGCGAACACCATCGGCATTATTGACAGTTGACAGTTTTATTTTGGGTTCATGATTTTTTTTTTTAAATTTTATTTATTTATTTATTTTTTATTATTATTAAAATAAAATTTCTTGGTAAGCTTAGACCTTATTGTTGTTATTGCGTTTTAATCTGCTGTCTCAAAAAATAAATACAAAAAATAAACCCCTGAGCCCTGTATAACAGTTTATGTCAAGGCCAGGTCAATCATGGCTCTAATGAAGAGTTGTTTGGATCAGGTAGGGCCAATCCAAACAAAAGGTTAATGCATTATGTTGATTAATTGTTTTGTTATAGCAGGTGGCTGAGACTTGACCCTGTGTGTTTTTCCAAAATATTTTCCTGGACCAAAGATTCAGATGTCACAATAAGCAAATTAACTCACACATGTTCACGACTGACAATAGAGAATAGAATACAGTTTGTTACACTGTAAAAATAATTTTACATTTGGTGAAATTAATAAACTGATTGCAGGACTAAAACACTTGACACAGTAAAACAATTGTAAAATGACTACAATGCATTAAGGTGTACATCTTCATGAAGACAGTTCCTTGCCTGAAATGCATTTATTATTACAGGTGATTTTATAGCTACAATATCTCAAAAAACATGCCTTCTCAACATCCTCTCCAAAGACCTGTCTGTAAGTGGCCCTTAGTGACATCTCATGTTTGACTATATGAAAATAGATTTTTTGGTTTAATGTCATACTATGGAACATTCTAGGTCAATTTTTACTATGGAACATTCTAGGTCAATTTCAATAACACCTACATAGAGACAAGCAAGTAGCGGGCCCCTCATTAGAAAAGCCGCATAGAACACCTTTAAGTAGCCTATAAGGATTGATAGTTATGCGTTGCTCCTCTTGGCGTGAAGCATTTCAGTGAGGAGGCTGTTGCAGTGCACCTCTCCGCTCTCATGTTTGCTCCATAGATAGTCTTCAGCCAGGCAGCTCATTAAGTGTATCTCGGACAGACACTGAAGCAGCTGAGTGAAACGAGCTGAGCACTGGGAGGACGAAGCAGCCTCCAGCAAAGCCCCACGGACTTGCCACTGGACCCTCTCAATGAATAAACGGTTTTCAAGTTGTTTCCCTTCTTTCATGTAAGACAAACAAAAATATAAATAGTATCTCCAACACACTGTAAAGGTTATGTCTTAGACTGAATCCACAAACCTGGATTGAAAATAATAAGATACTTAATGCAGACAAATTCCTGTTGATCCACTTTAAGGAGCTGAAATTTTCCAATCAGCTCTTGACCCAATTTAATGAGACTGGACAAAATGGGACCAGCATGGCATCCAAGCATGGAAAAATCAATCTATAACACAATACTTGACAATTAATGGTGCAACCAAAAACGTTCTAAGATAAATACTCAAAGCCCACCAACTTGCGATAAATTAGAATCAGGAAAAAATAAAATACGTTTGAATATACACACCTCATGCCCAGTGATCAGAAGAAGCCGACCCTCTTTTCCCTTTAGGACTTGTCTGGAGATCAAGTCAAGAAGCAGCATCTCAGACCAGCAGTTGTGGAGTAGCGTCATTTGGTCCCTTACCTCACAAAAACAAAATAGGAACACTATAACATGATGTTTGCCTTTTTTAAATGTTATTGTTGTCATTACCTTGAGTTGCCTGAAGTAGACAGATGTACGGGCCCACTCCACCATAGAGAGGAGAGTTTGCTCAGTCAGGAGGAACATGAGGCTGAAAAGGCTTGGCAGCCCATGTTTGTGCTGCTGTAAACTCTGTCTAATCTTATTCTGTAATAAAGTCTCATCAGGATCACAGCGCACCAGCTCCAACACAAACAGAGGGACCCTAGGCTTTAGTGGCTCCCTGGTATGGGTGGTCTCAAAGTGAACATGGTTAGTACCAGGGGTAACTGTTAGTGAAGAAGGGCAGATTATTCCAGACCTGACAGGGTAAGTGCAGTCTGTCTGAACATGAGGGGTAACCTTAGGAAGCTCTGCTTGAACCTTCTGTTGCTGCTTCAGGACTCGGTCCCGTTTGTACATGGGTCCAAACTTATTCCGCCCCCCCCTCATTCGATCTGCACGGACAGCTATAAACAAAAATTTAAATTATCAATGAAAAGGAGGCAATTTTGTTGGATAAAGTTGCATATAAGTAAACATATATTTTTAACAACTTGAGAGTAATGCACAGTACAATGAATAATTTGTGTACACTAGCAAATAATAAATTTGATAAAAAGAGAGTAATAAATAATTGTAATAACAAATAACTGCATAATTATTAATGTACACAAAAAATTGGTAATAACCATAATAAACCTGAAATTCATCATTATGACATAATTTCCAGTTTTTCTCTCACCATCTAGTCGCATCCCCACTTCAAGACATTTCTGAAATCTGCAGAAGGGACAGCGTTTCCTCTGGGCCTTGTCAATCCTACACTTCTGGGTCTCTCCACACATGTACCTCTTTTTGTTTTGAACAGTCCTCTTAAAAAATCCCTACCAAATTAATTGTTGGTATAATATATTAAAAATAAAATTAATACTTTATTAAGATAAAAAATTAATTAATTAATAAATAACCGTGCTGATGTACCTTGCAGCTTTCACAGGTGAGCAGCCCATAGTGATATCCAGAGACTTTGTCACCACAGACTGGGCACAACTCTTCTGATGCAGTGTGACTGTAATCCATCACTCAAAGGTTAAAAACTGCTAAAAAAAAAAAAAAAAAAAAAAGTAAGCCATTTAGTTCAAATAAATTACATTCTTACATTACAGTCAACAACTGTAAAAAGCAAAAGACCTGTGATGCAGGTGTGACAAGTCGCTGTCCATGGTCTTGACATTGTGCAACTGGTACAAGGCACACACAGCTCCACCCAATCGCAAAATTAACTGTTTAGACACTGCCTTGGGTGTGACCATAATCACTTCCCAAAATCTTCAACATCTTACAGTACAGTTATTCCTACACTGAAAATATGTTCCTAAATAGTCTTCATCATATTAGCATAGTCTCAAAATCAGAACCCATGGCATTCTATTCTGGGGACAGATCTTAACCTTTACCTAAATAAATTAACCGATCTGAACTTTAAACCACATAACTGATTTAATACAGATTGACTTATTTTTTGTTACAAGGAAAAGGTCCCCGTGAAGCCCAAAGAAGTTCATTTGGTCTTCCGATAATTTACAGACCAAGAGTTTGTTTTCATACCTGAGTTTTGACTGCTCACTAGCAGTCTTCCTGTCATGTTAATAACACTATTGTGTAACAAATATGCTGTCCTATATGATGATTGGCTTTCTTTTTGCATGTAGATGAAAAAGGGTGAAGTTATTAATATGACAATCAGTTACTTTGTATAACCATATGGAATTGCACAGCAAATTATATCAGCAGCAGTCAGTACTGTATAGCACAACAGCGCAAAATATAATATTTGCTGTCAAGAGTCAAGCCACACATGACAAAGTATTAGTCCTATAAAATAAGTCAAAAAGGCATAAAAGTTTATTCAGATATATTTAGTTAACAGCATAGATAAAAGTGATTTGAAAATATTTACATCTGAAGTAAAAATTTGTAAACCAATGTGCAATTATATCTCGTGATGAGAAAATGAAATGACATCAACAAGCATAACTATAATACCAAAGTCAATAAACAACCTTCTTCATATTCAGAGTTTGGCTTTGGGTGTTTGCTCAAGAAGAGTCCTCATGTCCAACAAGGCCTCCCTCACAGTTTGTGCAAAAGATGCTGCATTTGTCTCATTACATGTGTTAAAAGACGACACTGCAAAATTTATATGATCTTCCATAGGATTGTAGCAGACACCATATCCATTTGGGACAACAGGTCCAAAACACATGACACAGTCTGTCTTGGATGGTACCTGTAATAAATACAATAAAAAACAATTATAAAAAGTATATATATATATATATATATATATATATATATATATATATATATATATATATATATATATATATATATATTTATATATTTTATTTATATATTTTTGTCCTATTATTTACTTTTATATATTTTGTTTGTACCTGACTGGTGGACAGTATGTAGTGCAAAGCTTTGCTGTAAGACTTGTCAGTAAAGATCGGGGGCAAAGGGGAATGTTCTTGAAGAGCCAGCATCTTTAGCCCAAGCAGGTGTCTATCAATCGCCTGTCCACTGATGGCCTGTTCCAGAGTGCAGCAAATGAATGTAAAGTGCTTACAGAAACTCGGACCAAATGATGAATAAAATGTGCCTACCATGTTAGTGTACCATCTGTGTGCTTTTACAGCATTTTCCAACAATTCTACTTTTTCTGTGTTTTGTTTGGACACATTGTCAAAGGCTTTGACAAATTCAACTGAGGCAGTTGAGGCTGATCGTATGGTATCTGTGCGACCAAGCCTGAACATGCGCAAAGAGGCACTCTCATGTGGCACAGGTATGCTGGTACATTCTGAAAGACAGGATCTAAATCAGTATTCAGGGCTATCAAAATATACTATATTAACGCATTAAATAAAGCGATATCTCACCTGTAGAACGCCAGCTGTAGAGCAACTTGTATAAAGGCATCAGGGCTCATTTTATAGATCTTTGGAACATTCTTTCCAAAATGTTCAAATACAACAACTCTCATTTCCAGTTCCTGTGCCAATCTACGAGAGGAAAAATTCTCAAGTTCAGCAAATATATACATGAAAAATCTGTGTGAAATTGCAGTTTTTTAAAGCAGTCAAGTGTTTGGAATATTTAACAAGAAGAAAACAGTCAACTCACTGATTCATTGCATGCTTAGCCCCCTCAATGTCATTTTTTATTTCTGGGCTGATGTTGAAATGTAATTTCTGTGGCACTGTAGAAGACTTAAGGATAGGAGTTTGTCCCAGCTCTGATCTTCTCCTGTTTCCAATGTCAATACAAATAAATACATTACACAAAAATAAAAAGTTATTAAAAGCATTATTTAAAAAACACTGGGTAAGATAATTTGTCTACTTACGTATATTCAACAACATGGTCAATCAAGGCCACAATTGGAGGACCCTCAGCTGGGGCATGTTCATAGTTTGCTCCACATGTTCCGTCCTCTCCAATAATAAACTACAATGTTTTACATAGACAACAATTATATTTTTTTACATACTGCCAGCAGAGACCTTTTTTCCCAACTCTAACGTTAAGTAAAAGTAAAATTAATGCTCAAGTATTAAAGCTATTTACACACCATAAAATGGTTTAGTCATTTTGTATCTATAACACACCTGCAGAGTTTTGTCAAACCACCGGTTGCCACTGTTCCACTGGCTGCCTCCTCCATGCAGCATTTGGACAGCAGCACAGCTTTGATACATGTCCTCTGCAACCACTGGCATTGCTCCATCCAAACACACAGTAAAGATGCTTCTTTGAATAGCTGACACAGAAGCTTGGTTGGTTTTATCTGTACAAAACAAACTTTTGATTTTTAGAGACACTTTTAGTAACATTTTACTTATGTCTGTGTCCTTGTCTAATATGAAATATCAGGTCAAAGGTCAGTTTATGTAGCCAAACAATTGTGATGTTTAAAAATGCAATGCTGATAACCAAGACCAAGATTAGTCGTTGTTTTGGGCTCATCATTTCCATTTCCATGTTTTCCATGTGTGTTTTCTTTGCACGAGTGGGATAATTTTCATTCAGTTCATTAAAATTAGAGGTGCACAAGGTCAAATAATGAACATCTGCAACTCATGAATGTATATATGGCAGCAGATATTTATTTATGATTCTGTCAATTTATTTTGTCATTATATTGCAATGTGCAAGGGACTCTGCATTTTACTTCAATAAAGTCCAGGTCCCACTGTTAATGTACCAGTAGCATAATACATACTTTTGTTTATCATGTTATATTATCAAACTTATGTTATTGTGACTGGCCTACCCTTGATGAAGTTTTGGTATGTCCTGCCCCATGAATCCCTGTCTAAAGTTGTGAGGATGCCAACAGGGTCTGAGTTGGTTTGCTGTGAGGAATTACAGATGTGTTCCAACTGGCCAGAGAGCTGGTCAACACTCAGCGGAGTCCCATCGCTGTTATAAACATCTAGAACAAAGAACTATCCACAAATGTTGTTAAATGTTTGCATATTTCATTTTAAACAAGCTGTATTAGTCCTTACTTGACAGTTGTGAACTACAGTGATGTGTTTTGGTGGCAAAGAGCTCCTGGCATGGTTCACTACTGAATCTCTCTTCAGTCCAGGGATGCGACATGATGAAAGTACCTGATAGTACTGATTCATGCACAGAGGCTTAGCTCCCATGTATTCCACAGGCAACGTTTCACTATTTGAAAAAAAAAAAGTCTCACATCATACAAATATTCTACAAATTTTTTAATCGTGTGATTGGCGCAGTTCAATAATCATGTAGCATGTTGTCAGTGTTCAATAAATGTAATCTATATTAATAGTAAAGTGTAAGACTACAACATTGATAAGGGATAATAAGATAAGAGTCTATAATTATGGTTATGTAAAGTAAATTTGTGTGTTTTTACAATTAACTAACATGACACTGACATATATATTTTTAAAAGTGAATATTAATTTTTGCTAAGCTACAGAAAGCAAACCAAGTCAGCAGGATACTTAAATTTTTCTTACTTGTCAATCATTGTCTTAAAATCCAAGACTCCTGCAATAAGTTTGGCAGCAAATCTATGGAAATGGAATATTTACATTACACAACAATGAAATACAATCTATTGCGGAATGAGTGTGTGAGGCCTACTGTATTTGTCCATGTTTATCATTGAAGTTCATCTTAGGCAATACCAAGCCAGGACTAGAATGGACCACTACTGGCAACCGGTAGTCAAGATATGCCACCTGCACCCACCACTCGGATAGCTGGAGAGATTTAAAAAAAAAAAAACAATAGCTCACAAAACCCACAAAACCATCTATTCTTAATATGTATTAAATATAAGTTCCATTTATGACAAAGTATAGGCAGTCCTTTACAAACCTATGTATTCATTAACAAAAGACATGAAAGTACTAGACTGCACATTTCCCACATAAACTTACCCAGTTTTCTGTGTTTTCAGCTCTTTTTTCCAGAGTCCTCTGTAGTCGCTCTCCCTCTCCTCCAGGTTTCTGAAACCCATCTACAAGGACCTTTGTGCGCTGCAGCTCCTCTGCAGTCACAATAGGTTCAAGCGCTGCAATGTAGCGCTCACAGGTCTGCTGCAGAGGGGGCACAGGCAGAGAGGGCAAGCCCTTCTGATGGGTCAGATACCGTCCAGAAATGCGGGTGGCAGATACAGGCTTCACTAAGTGGCAGGGTTTCACCAAGGCACATGGTTTTGGCATCCCCACCTTCACCTGTGACAGCATAACAGTTCAATAAATATGTAATGATAATAATAATAACAGTTATTATTGTTTTATATAGCGATTTTCGGGACCCTGAAGGACGCTATTGTTTGTGTGTCATTTCTGTTGCTATGCAAGTCTTAATCATACAGGCAAGGAACTATGAACCTGAGTATGAAGAAAATGGAAAGGAAATGATGAAAAGCCACTGTTGGCTTCTTTTATGTTAACATTGAAATGAGGACTCTACCTGGATAGAAACGTAGTTTCGCTAGTAACAAACGTGTTTATATATATCAAACAGTAATAGCAACGTGTGGGAATCTATCCAACTTGTCAACTTCTATAAACTGCATTTACCTTTGACCCACATCCTATTAGCTTTTGCTAGCAGCAGTTACAGCTAGCCTAAAGTCTTGAATACATTGTCGACAAATACGCGTTGAAAGCTCAAATCCAGATTCCAAATGTATTGTTCTGTCTATGGTGATATTGTGACCTCCCAGCCTTCAAATACACTATGTTAGCAAAGCTAAAGCTTTATAAAAACAAGTGCAATATACTGTCGGAGTTGCTCACCATAGTTCTGCTCCAAATGCCCCACATTCTGTATTCAAAGAAACGCCCACTTCTGCAGTCTGTCTGAACCGGGTCTGAACCAGGGGCTCCACTAAAAGATAAACGTTTCCCTGTGTTATTAGGTCAATGGTCATCAGATGTTTGGAGGCAACCTCTGCTCTAGAGTCTCTCAGTGAACTACAAATACCATGGGGCATTTATAAGCTCTGGAAATGCTCGTAGATTTATTTTCCTTTCTTTTTCTTTTTCATTTATTTCGCATAATTAATCAGAGATCAGATTTCTGAAGGTACAACATGCATTTAACCTTTAACTTATAAGTTGTTGGAACCTACGAAGATTTCCTCTTTTGATGCAATTACATCTGCCGACACTAGAGGGCTGCGTTGTGCTTTCTATTTTTATTAGGAGGGCGCAGTTTTCTGTGACTCCATTTCGGGGCAGTGTGAGTCTCTCTGTGGGTTAAAGTGAACTCAATCTTCTGAAGAAGACTACAGATCGCCATGGCGGAAACTGATCAACCATCAGGTAGTAAACAAACGCTAAAAATTACCTTTGTCCTGCTTCACCTGCAGTAAATACGTATTCATTCACTGGGTTGCTGTAAAATGAGTTAATCTTAAAATGCGACACAAATGCATACGAGCGTCCATCTCTTATCTTAAGGAATTAACTATACCAACCATTCATAACACAGTTATATATTGTGTATGCACTTTTCAGGGTGCAGCTCTGACAGTAGATCTCAGGATGTCACCCTAAACTTCAACTTTGTGGTTCCTAAGAATGAAATCAACATGGTTCCTGACATGGGCAAGTGGAAACACTCTCAAGTAGGTTCACTGTTAGTTAATATACCCTAATACATTCATGTTTTTTATTATAATTATTATTATTAAGGACGCCAGAATGTTGGAGCTAAGTGCTCTTGAGTGTGCGACTAAAAGGCTGATGTTTAAGAGTCAAGAATATTAGCCATGTTCATATTATATTTGGATACTTTGTGCCCAACATCAACTCAGCCCTGTGTT